AGGCATACATACATATGTACATACATACACGCATGCACGCTGGTGAGGATTTGGGGCACTCTGACACTGCCGGTGGAACGTAGGCTAGTACAGGCACTACAGAAAATAAATATCAAGGTTCCTCCAAAAACTACAAATAGAATTACCATTTGACCCAACTATACCCATCCATGGAATATACCCAAAGGAAATAAAATTAGTATACGACAGGAACACTGCACACCCATGTTTACTGTGGTACAACATACAATAGCCAAGATACAGAACCAGCCTAGATGCCCATTAACAAATGAATGGATAAAGAAAATATGGTGTATATTACTGGCCATAAAAAAAGAATGAAATTTTATCATTGTAAAAAACTGAAGGGATCTAAGGATTATCATGTGGAACAAAATACGGCCGACTCAGAAATATTGCGTGTTTGCCCTAGTATAGCAGATAGACCATAAAAGAGAGGAAAAGAAAGGAGACTATTATTTGACAAGAGGAAAGGAAAAAGGGAGGGGTATAAGAGTGAGTAACGGGAATACGATCAGCATACATTACACACACTGAAACCCTCCCCCAAAAAATGTCAAACTAGGGGTGAGGGTGGAGACAGGGGAGTTATGGAGGAAAATGATTAAAGTTTGTTAGGCCCACATACAAATCTGCCAAAAAAGCTGAGGGAGATGGTGCACATTTGTAATCCCAGCACTCAGGAGGAAGAGGTAGGAGGACTGCTGTGAGTTCAAGGGCAGCCTCTACGACTTATCAAGGACCTCTCTCAAAATAAATAAAATTTTTAAAAATTTGGGTATAGCTTATAAAATTAAAAAAAGTATCTGCCAAAAGGAAACCCACTAATCTGTACAACCAAGATAAATGTTGGGGAGCTGGGCATAGTGGCATTTGCTTGTGTAATTCCCAGCACTTTGGGAGGTTGAGGCAGGAAGATCACTGAGAGTTCAAAGTCAATCCAGGCTATATAATGAATTCAAAGCTAGCCTGAACTACACAGTGAGATTGTGCCTCAAAAAACCCAACTAAACAAAAGAAAAATAAGAAACAGAAATAGGGACAAAATTTGTTATCTAAAATGTGATGGTTTCAGAGATGCATACAAATATCAAGGCTGATCACAATGTACACTTTAAATAAGGTCAGTCCATAACTACATTAATATAGATATAAAAAAGTTTAATGGAATAGCAATACATACCCATATTCATAGCAATGCAATTCACAATAGCTAAACTATGGAAACAGCCTAGATGCCCATCAAAGGTGAATGGATAAAGAAAATATACACAATGGAATGGTATCTAGCCATAAAGAAGAATGAAGTCATGTCATCTGCAGGAAAATGAATGGAACTGAAGACCATCGTGTCAGGACCATAATACTAAGCAAAATAAGTCAAACACAAAAAGTTACATATGGAATGCTTCCTCTCATTTGAGAAACCTAAAATAGAAACAAATAAATGAATAAAATAAAAGAATGGCAGGCAAGAAGGCAGACTTTTTCAAAATGGGAAAGGGGATCAGGGTGAGGGGAAAGGTAAGAGAAAGGAGGGTTAAGGAACAGAAATTATCAAAATGGTTCAGTTTGGTTTTGGTTTTCTGAAACGGTCTTGCTGCATAACCCACGCTGGCCTCAAATTCACTAGGTAGTCCAGGCTGGCCTCACACTTGTGGCAATCCTCCTGCTTCAGCTTCCTGAGTGCTGGGATTATAGGTACATGCCACTACACTCAGCTCAAAATGTGTTATATGCATGTATCTCACTCTTATGTTCTACAAACATACAATTAAAAAAAAAATCATTTAATGGTAATTGGCAGTTTTGTAGGATCAAAATCCACCATCCCAAACAATGGTGACAAGCTCTAATCAATAAAGACTGAACGGTACCAACAGGCCACTAACAGCCAAGTGATCCCTCTTAGGTAACTCTCTGTAGAACAATTTCTTTTCTTCTTGTTTTTTTGAGACAGGGGCTCACTATGCAGTTCAGACTGGCCTTGAGCTCACTTTGTAGCCTCGGCTGGTCTCGAAATCACAGTGATCCTCCTGCCTCAGCCTCCCAAGTGCTGGGATTACAGATGTGTGCCACCACGCCCGGCATAACCATTTCTTTACTATCAATGGAAGACTTAAAATATCCATATCCCCTCTCATGAATACACATGAAAAAGGGGCTGGGGATTTAGCTCAGTGGTAAAGCGCCTGCCTGGCAAGCGCAAGGTCGTGAGTTCGGTTCCCGGTACCGGAGAAAAACAAACAAACAAAAAAAAACTTACACATGAAAAATCCATAGGGAAAAAATCCATAGTAACTATGATCAGCATGATTAATATATTGGAGATTAAGCCAAGATACTCAAAATCCCTCCCTCTAGGTCTCTGCCTTTTGTTTTTAAGACTAAATGAAAACAATTCTCATGTATTTTATGCTATCTACATATCAATTTGTGGCATCTGATTATTTGTTGAAAACCAAGTTGGCCAGGTGTGGTGGCCCATGCCTGTAATCCCAGCACTCGGGAGACTGAGGCAGGAGGATCATTGCAAGTCTGAGACCAGCCTGGGCTACAAAGTGAGCTCAAGGTCAGCCTGAACTGCACAGGGAGACCCTGCCTCAAAAACACACATGCAAATAAAAAAAAAAGAAAACTAAGTTTAATTTCAAATTTCCCAGAGAAGTTTTGTTATGAGATAATGACTATCATAAGGGACTTTAAAAAAGAAAATTTAAAAAATAATTGACTTCATAGGGCTGGGCACATGCCTGTAATCTCAGCACTCAGGAGGCTGAGGCAGAGGATCACCCCGGCCAGCCTGAACTACACAGTGAGTTCAGGGCCAGCCTGAACTACATGGCAAAACCCTATCTCAAAAAACGAAACAAAAAACTCATAAATGACTTTATAATTTGGTGTCACCAGTGTGGCAAGTTTTAGCTTCTGACCACAAGAAAAAGCCTATTTATTTAACCCTTCTGATCAGAAAGAATTTTTAAGACCTATAGTTCATTTTTCTATTATTTCATTAGAAAAGTATTTTAGATTATATCAGTATCCTCAGTAGATTTCTTTAATGCTACCTGTCTTTAAAATCTAGTGTTCAGGGGCTGGGGATTTAGCTCAGTGGCAAAGCGCCTGCCTGGCAAGCATAAGGTCGTGAGTTCGGTTCCCGGTACCGGAGAAAAACCAAAAAAAAAAAAAAACAAAACAAAAAACAAAAATAAAATCTAGTGTTCAAATAAATAAATAAATAAATAAAATCTAGTGTTCTCCATGGTTTCATTCTCTACTCTCACTTCTCACCACCAGTCTTGAACTTCACAATCTCCTAGGAATCTAGTTAAAAATAAGGATTCTGGGGGCTGGGGATTTAGCGCAGCGGCAAAGCGCCTGCCTGGCAAGCGCAAGGTCGTGAGTTCGGTTCCTGGTACCGGAGAAAAACCAAAAAAAAAAAAAAAAATAAAAAATAAAAATAAAAATAAGGATTCTGGTGCCCATACCCAATGATCCCAATTCTGATTATGGATGATTATTCTGATTATTATTATTCTGATTATTCATCTTTACATCTTTCTTGCCTTTTTAAAAATCCTTTTAGGGGCTGGGGATTTAGCTCAGTGGCGCAGCGCCTGCCTGGCAAGCGGAAGGTCATGAGTTCGATTCGCGGTCCCGGAAAAATAACCAAAAAAAATTTTTTTAATAAAAAAATAAAAATAAAAATCCTTTTAAACATTAGTGTAAAAAATTTTTTTTATAAAAAACAAACATTAGTGTCATTTCTATACCTTTTAACAATTATCCCTAGGTGAACCAAGGTGCACGTTGAGAAATACTGCTTGAGCCGCCTTCCCTGGAAGGTCAACTGAATAGTCATCTTGTGAAGAAAAGTGCCATGTGTCAAATAATTTTTATACCTGATGATTCTAAATTTCAGACCAGCTCTTCATCCATTTATATTTCTTCCAAATGTTGCTCCTCACTCAGAAATTTCTGCTTCAGTGAATGATTCCAACATCCATTTGCCATAGCCAGAGCCACAGACATCCTGTAGTCCTTCCTTTTACCTCTCTCAACTAAACAACTCCCTGCAGCCCTCCCTCCCCCATCCCAGTCCTATAGAACTACCGGATATCCTGTTAACTTCCTTTAACTGTTCCAATGTTGTACTCTTGGGGAAAACCCATCCTCCTAGCTAACTGCATTATTCCTCAACTTTCAAGCCTCTGCTTAGGAATGACCTACTCTGATAACCCATTCCTCCCAAGCATCATTTGCCTCTCCCAAAAGTCACGCTATTTTAAAATATTTAGTTTCTATTTTAAAATATTTAGTTATTACACTGCGTTGTGCTTATCTACTTTCCAATCTCCCACTCTGGACTGCTACTTGTTTTTCCTATCTGTGCATCTAACCTACACAGTGGGTAGAAAGCAGACATTTAATAAATGTTACCTGAATGAATGAATCATCTAATGAGTTTCTAGTCCATGAGAATATTTTTTGTTTTAACCATGGAAAAATACAGCACATTCAGTATGCAAAATAAACCAGTCTTGCGGCCAAATACTTTGAAAATAAAAGGATTTCGTACAGCCATTTTCATCTTCTTTCCAAAGCTCATCAATGTATTTATGAGCACGAATTTATGCGTGGAGAAATCCAGGACTACCACTGAGTCGAACGTCCCTTTTTTGTTTTGTTTTGTTTTGTTGCAAGCCAGATATTCCTCTCCAACACGACGTTTAGACCTGCACGGTCCAACCCAGTAGCCATTAGCTACAGGTGACTACTTCAATTTAAATTAATTTCAATTAAATAAAATTTAAAATTCAATTCCTCTCTTGCACTAGCCACATTTCAAGTGTCGAGAGCCCAAAAGCTATCGGTAGCTGGTGGCTACGACACTGGACAGTGCAGATGCAGCATTTTCATCAGTTCTACGGACAGAGTTGGAGACACAATCATAAAAAGACCTCAAAAACCTCACTTACTTCTTTGCTCCCACGATTCTGGCGCTCCTCTGCTGCTTAAAGGACGTGGGTCCCGGGGTCTAGCAAATCACAAGCATACGAGTGAGTGCTAGGATAGCTGAACCCCGACCACAAAGAGATGAATCCCCCTTGTGCCGAGAAGAAACGAAGCTCTCGCGGGGCGACTATCTCAAACGGAAGAAGGTAACACTTTTTAGGAAAAGTATGTCGTCTTACTTTCCTAAAATGTGAAGACAATACCAGAGCCTTCATCTTCCCCCATTCTCAAAGCCCTGCCTCAGAGAGAGGCTCTAAAAAGGGGAAAAGAAAATAACGGATATGGGAGGGATTTGAGGACGTAAAAGGAACCGAAACTCGTGGCAATCTGGCAAGGAGTGAGTACAAGAAGGTGGGGAACAGAAAAAAAAAAGTGGGAAAAAGGGGGACAGGTGGATCTGATCTAAAAGGGTGGGGCCTACGATGGGGTCTGATAAAACCAACTCTTTGAGCATGGGACAAAAGCGAGCAGCTGCATGTTCCCAGCTCGACAGCGCTACCTCTAAAGCATAACGGTCACGCCAAGGAACTCACGGCGGGGACTGCACCGAGTCTGGAAGACATCACTCCCTCTCCACGCCTAACAATTTCACCCAGGGGCTCCGTCCAGACCAACGCCACTTCCGCTCTCCTCTCCTCTCCCGGATGTGGACTCAGTGCCGCCTAGCCCCGGTCTGAATGTCTACTTCCGCCTAGCAGCTTCCAAGGGGGCTGCGGCGGGAAGCAGTCACGTGACGACTCACTGTGTCCGCGGAGACCCCGCCCCCCAGTGCGGCGCAGGACCTGGGAGACTGGGGGAGGAGCGGTGGAGCGAAGGGCCGGAGTGTGGAGACGCCGCCGGAGAACCCCTGTATCCCTGTGCTGCATCCCTTTGCACAACGCCATACGTCCCTTCCTTCACCCACCCCGCAAGTGATCTTGTAGATGCACATGGAGATTAATTATTGCCCCTTTATTGATCTTAAAGAAATGAAAGACTCATTTTCGCTCCCCTCCCTCTTAGTAAAGAGGCCCAAAAGCCCTTTCCTTGCCGAGAAGGCGGAATAGGAGGCAGTGGCTGAGGAGTCAAAAAGCCAGGAAAGGGGAGCTAGATGAAGAGTTGACGGAGACGTCTATAATCTACCAGCTTCGGACCTCCAAACGTGCCCTGCTTTGGGGTGTTTTAGCAGGGTCCCTAGGAAACACGTTTGACTAACTCTTGGGGTCTTTAGACAAACTAGGTCTGGGCCTCTCCTTAGGGGAACTGTCCTTGAGTCTCTCCTTAGCGGGGCTGTGAGGGGTTTTCTCAGCGCCACTGCGACCGCGACTGCGACTGCGACCGCGACTGCGACCGCGACCGCGACAGCGTTGGCTCCCCTCAGGGTGGCTCTGCCGGGTTCTCTCAGTGGTGCTGGGCGGAGCTCTCTCCGAGGGACTGTGCCGGCTCCTTTCAGAGGGACTATGATGGGTTGTCCCGGAACTATGGCCTCTCCTCTCAGACGGATGATGAGGGCTGGTTGTCTCAGACCGGATGCCGTGGCTCTTCTCCGAAGCACTGTGGCGTCTCCTCTCTGAGGCACTGCGATATCGCCTCTCTGAGGGACTGAGATGTCGCCCCCCCGAGGGCTTGCAGGGTCTCCTCTCTGAGGGACTGCGAAGTCGCCTCCCCGAGGGGCTGCGACGGTGTCTCTGGCAGGGACTGACCTGGCTCCTCTCAGAGGGATTTTGTCGGGTTCCCTCCCCGTAGGACCCGCGGTGGTTTTGCCCCTTGTGTGTGTGTTTCTCTCTGAGATGACTCTGCAGGGTTTTCTTCTGAAGGGGACCAGGTAGATTTTTCCGTTGTGCTTGAAATCCGGTTCCTGGTTTGAGCCCGTTCTTAGACTGTTGACTGGACATTTCATCTCTGGGATGGTTTTTCTTTGCACTGCTGCTACTGACATTTTGAACTGTACCCAAAGGCTGAGTGATGGAGGTATCGAGGGAAGTAATTTCTCTTTGGGAAGCTGTGGGCTTGGACAGTTGTAGAGGTCTGCGATGGGAAAAGCTCCCTCTTTGGGACTGTTGAGCTGATCTCCGTCGGTCTGCCCTTCGGCAAAGTATGCCCTCCTGCTTAGTGATTGGACTTGCTGCCCTTTGCTTGACAACTGGCATCCTCTCTCTTTTGCTATCTCTTGGTAAGCGACAGTCCCTAGATTTTTGTTGTGAACTGTAGTTTTCACTTGATCGAAAATTGTCTACCCTTGTCCTGTCCTCAGGCTTCTGACCAACAAAAGGCATAATTCTATGTGCTGTTTGGAATATCTTCTTTAGGCCTTGAAAAAGCAGTTGCATGAAGGTGGAATGGGAGGATTTCTTAGGTTGTCTTTTTAAAGAAGCAGTATTTGTCTGAGCTGCTCCAATCCTCTTCTTCCTTAAGGTGGCTAATTCCCCAGAAGTACTCTCTACTGTGGTTCCACTGTATGGGTAGTACTTTGTGTTTTGTGATCTAGGTCCCTTTGGGATTCTTTTCATTGAATATTTTGAATCAGAGCACTTTTTTGTTCTCGCTTTAGCAATTTTTTCATCTTGATTGCTTTCAGAATCACTCTCTGATAGGGTGTGAACTTCAGGGAATTCATAGTGCTTAGACTCTCCAATTTCTGTCTTTCTGACTAATTCAGGAATGTTCCATTCCTTTGTCCTGGTGTGGACTCTGAAAGGAGCAGGAGACTGGGGTGATCCAAACTGAAAATCTATTGTGGGACCAACACTCTTGGAAGCTGGAGGATAGAGTTTATCTTTTTTGTGTGATAGTGATATAGGACCTCTTGGTGTGGTATGTCTGTCTCTTCCACGATACTTTGCGACTTGAGGTCTTTTTCCAATTCGCAACCTAAAGCCAAGACGCACCTGAACCTTAGCCTGGCCTTCAGGAGTGCTCACGAGGTGGAGCTGTGGATAGATAAGAATATAAGGCCCAGAAGTAGATTGTAAAGTGGTATGATTGCAATTAAATCCTGAACATTGGCCACACTGTAGGCAGATGGGATATTTTAGGACAAGACCTGAGGCCAGAGGTGGAGGCACATTAGGAGGTATTTGACTTCTCATGAGTTTTGCTGCAATTTTTAGCTGCAGATCTTGTAGCAGGTGGTTCTGGTCTGAGAAGTCATTCTTGGCCGGAGAAAAGTAACTTGGTTTTCGGGAGTACGAGGGCTCAGAAATCTTTGTCTGTGAATCACTTTGTGATTCACAGGGAGTAAGATCTTCCCTATTGCGAAATATCGTGAGGAAAGTTTCTGACTCTACTGGGGTAGGAAGCTGGCCCCCTACACATGACTCTGGCATGTCCTGAGTGACTTCCTGGGATTTATCATTGAGCTTTGAGTTTGCTTCCTTTATTCTCAATCTAGTCCCAGAGTATTGCTGTATTATGGAAGATGGGAAGCCACGTGTCCATATCCTTAAGCCCACTCTTTTTTCATAACCATGGCATAAAGGATGCCTCTGAATGTAGTTTTTGAACACTGAAGGCTTTGAAACAGTATCTGGACCCTTCTCTAGCAGGGGCTGGGAAAATTCCATCAGTTCAGCTGGAACTCCAAATAAATTCTGAACAGACTGACAGATATCTGCACTGGATCTTTTTGCTAAACACGTTTGAGAACAAAGCTTCCTTTCCATAGTAGTGCCTAAGACATTCCCCAGCATTAGCATCGAGGAGAGATATTTTCTAGGTAGTCTCTGCCTATAGGTGTGACTCTCCCAGATATTCTGTTGTCTCCCCAGGGAAGACTGAACAGGACCTCTTTGAGTCCCTAATCCTGACTGGAAGGACCCAGGTGGTGATCTCCAACTTTGTAGTGAATGTTGGGAATAGTTCTGGAATGAGTCTTCTAATTCCTCCATCTGCTTCCTCACCGTTCTTTCCTTAGATATGATTGCCATTCCTGGGATCTCAGGATGCTGGAATTCCAGTGTTGCTGGAATTTCATGGTGTTTTCCTGTAGTGAATTCTAAGGATTTTGACTCTTGATCACTTAGCACTGAAGTCAGATCAACACATTCTGGTACTTGAATATCCAATTGCAGAGGCATCTTTGAAGATTCCATGGCTTTACCTGTTGGCTTTGGGGTCAACTCCACAAATTTCTCTACGGTTTCTGTGCCTTTATGTGCTAGTCCTTCTGTCATTTCCAAAGATTCTGTGGCTTGATACACTGGACTTAAAATTGAATTCACATATTCAGGGACTTGATGCCTTGGTTTTGGGATCATCTCTGCATGTTCTACACAGAGGATTTCCGAGGATTCTGTAATTTGATAACGTGTTCTTAGACATTGATTCCCAGATTTCACTTTTTGAGGCAGTTCCCTTGGTGCTAACGCCACAGAGTTTGCAATTTGCTGCAGAGATAATGAAGATAATTCTGCGTGTTTTATGCTTTGCAACTTTGGCTCTGAAGTAAATGCCAAACAATTTGTATCTTGTTGCTGTGACTCTGGAAACGAATTTGAAAATTTGACACTAGATAGCACTGGACCTGGTAAGAGCGTCCTAGTTGGCTCTGGTGATTTCACTGCTTGCCATTCTAAATTCAACTCTTGGCTATTTATACCTTTCTGTTGGGTTCCTGGCCACAGGTCCACAGATTGCAAATTTTGAAAACGTGACTCTGGTGCAAACACCTCATATTTTAAGTCCTGCATCCCGGAGTCTGAAATCGATTTTACAGAGTCTGCACCACAAAGCAATTGTTGTTTCCTCACCTCCTCAGACTTGACATCTTTAAGCAGTGGGTCTGGTAAAACTACCCCAGATTTCACACCACTTAATGGAGGTCCTAAAGTGAACACAAGCTGTTCAACTTGCTGCTTCCACTGAAGTTGGTTCTCTGAAAGTTGGACTCCTTGAAACTTTGTCCCTGGAGTTAACTCAGAATATTTCATACCTTGAAAGTATGGTTCAGAGTTGCCTTTTACAGATGTCTTGCTTTGAATTTTTGTCCTTGAATTGAACTCACAAGATTTCATTCCTTGAAGTTTTGAAACTGGAGTTAATCCAGAAGATTTCACATCTTTCATATATAGCCCAGGGTTGCACCCAGTAGAATTTATACACTGAGGCTTCAGCCCTGAAGAAAATGCAAAAGAATTCACACCCCGCAAATATAGTCCAGGGTTGCACCCAGTAGAATTTATACACTGAGGTTTCAGCCCCGAAGAAAATGCAAAAGAATTCACATCCTGCAAATATGGTCCAGGATTGCACCCAGTAGAATTTGCACACTGAAGTTTTGGCTCTGAAGAGGATGCAGAAGTATTCACACCCTGCAAAAGTGGCCCAGAGTTGTAACCAGTAGAATTTATACAGTAAGGTTTTGGCCCTGAAGAGGATGCAAGAGAATTCACACCCTGAAAATATGGTCCAGAGTTGCACCCTATAGAATTTGTACACTGAAGTTTTGGCTCTGAAGAGGATGCAGAAGTATTCACACCCTGCAAAAGTGGCCCAGGGTTGCATCCAGTAGAATTTGTACACTGAGGTTTTGGCTCTGAAGAGGATGCAGAAGTATTCACACCTTGCAAAAGTGGCCCAGGGTTGCATCCAGTAGAATTTACACACTGAGGTTTTGTCGCTGGAGTGCAGGCAGAAGAATTCACCCCTTGAAAATGTGGTTCAGGGTTGCACCCAGTGGAATCGATACCCTGAAGTCTTGGATACCCTGGAGTACATGCAGAAGAATCTACACCATTCAAATGTGGCTCAGGGTTGCATCCAATAGAATTTACACACTGAGGTTTTAGTCCTGGAATGGATGCAGAAGAGTTTATACCTTGCAAATGTGGTCCAAGGCAGAGGACCTTAGACTTTATATCTTGAAACTTTGTTGTAGGTTTCAGCTCAGATGATTTTACACCTTGTAACTGTGACCCAGTATTGAAGGTCATAAAATTTTTACCCTGACTCTGTGACCTTGGCTTCAATTCAGAGGATTTCCCACCTTGTAATTCAGACTCATGCTTAAATTCCAGAGATTGCTTATCTGGAAGCTTGTTTTCTGTGCACAGCTCAAAAGACTTTATCCTTTCCAACTGAGGCCCAGGGTTGAACTCTGAAGATTGTGTACCTGGAAGCTTTGTTCCCAGGGACAACTCAGAAGATTTCACATCTTGCAACTGTTCTTCAGAATTGAATTCCATAGATTTCATATCTTGAAGCTTTGTCGCTGGACATAATTCTGAAGATTTTACATATTGCATATGTGGCACAGAATGGAACATTGTAAAGTTTGCACTTTCAAATTGTGACCCTTGTCCCAATTTATGAGATTTCTTATTTTGGTGCTGATTTCCAGCATTGAGTTCAGAAGAAAGTTTTGCAACCTGCAATTCTAAGCCGTCGCTGACCTCTGTATAGTTTATTGTTAGAAGGTTTATAGACTCAGATTCCACACCTTGCAACTTGATGCTTGGGTTGAATTCCACCGATTTTATACCTTCATCATTAATTTGTGATGTCAACGTAGACAATTTCCTATTTTGTAATGGTGGGGCAGAATTGGACCGTAAAGATATCCTATCTTGTACCTTACTTAGAGTTAACTGAGAGACTTTCTCATCTTGCCTTGGTGACTGAGGCGTAATTCCCACAGATTTCTCTTTTTGAAGCTTTGTCTCTGGAATTATGTCAGATTTTACACTTGGCAAGTATGGTCTGGAAACAAAGTCTATAGATTTTATATCTTTCAACTTTGTCCCTGGGACCAACTTAGATGATTTCACATCTTGCAACTGGAGGCTTGAGTTGAATTTTGCAGATTCCCCACCTTCAAGCTTTGTCTTTGGTAATAAAGCTGATGTTGCACCTTGTAACTTTGGACCATGGTTAAATTCTACAGATTTTACATCTTGAATCTTTGTCCCTTGAGCCAACTCAGATGATTTTGGGCTATGAATCTGTAGTCCAAAGTTGAAATCTACTATCTTTACACCTTGAAGTTTTGTCCTTGGTGCCACTTCAAAGGATTTTATACTTTTAAAGTGTTGTCCAGATTTCATATCTGGAAACTCCCTCCCCAGGATCAAATCAGATTTCTTACCTGGTAACTTTGGACTAGATTTGATTTCTACATATTTCACACCTTTAAGCTTTCCCCCTAGGATCATTTCAGAAGATTTCATACCTTGTACGTGTGGTTCAGAACTGAAAGTCACAGATTTTACATCTTGAAGCTTTATACCCATGATCAACTTAGAAGATTTCACGTCTTGCAACTGTGGGCCTGAGTTGAATTCCATTGGTTTTGTTTCTTGAAGTTGTGTCCTAAGTGTTGACTCAGAAGATTTTACACCTTGCAACTGTGGCTGAGGTTTGAAGTCTGTAGATTTGACACCTTGAATCTTGTTTTCCATGGTCAAATAAGAAAATGGTACACCTTCCACCTGTGAGTAGGGGCTTAACTGAGTACTTTGCCACTGGGGCCCAGAGTTGAACAACTCAGATTTCATACCTTGAGGTTTTGTCTCAAGAGCCAATTCAGGTGATTTCATACTTTTCAAGTGCAGTAGAGAGTTCAACTCTACAATTTCATCACTTTGTAATTGTGGCCCATGGCTTAATATCCTGGATTTCACTTCTTGAAGCTGTGGCTCTTGCATAAACACTACAGGCTTCATACCTTGAGGCCGTGTTCCTGGGGATGACTTTAATGGTTTCCCTTGCAGCTGTTGTCCTGGCACCAGCTCAGATTTCACATTTTGCAAATGATGCTGTGGCTTTAATACTATGGATTTTACATCACAGAGCTTTGACCTTGAAGTCAGGTCATGTGATTTCATACTTCTGAACTCTGGCCCAGATTTCAAATCAATGGGTTTGGACCCTTGAGGTTGATATTCTTGGAGTGATGCCAAAGATTGTATACATTGGCGCTCTGACCTTGGAAGCAACTCAGATGTCTTCACATTTCTCAATTGTTTTGATGGTTTCAACTCTACAGCTGTGACACCTTGAGATCGTGGCCCAAAATTTAGCCCAGATTTTAGATGTTGGAACCCTGGTCCTGGCATCCACTCAATAGACCTCATACTTCCAAGCTGTGGCCCTTGGTAGATCTCTGCAGATTTCTGTCCTTGAAGCTGTGGCTCTGAGGTTGATCCAAATTTTTTTCCTTTTTGTAGCTCTGACCCTGGGAACAGCTCAGGGGTTTCCCCGCACTGTACTTGTGGCTCAAGGTCAGATTCCACAGATTTTGCACCTTGAAATTTTGGCCTTCTGGTCAATTCAGATGACTTCATACCTCCTGATTGTATGGAAGATTTCAACTGTGTTGGTTTGACACGTTGAGATTCTGTCTTCAGATTTAATCCTACAGATTTCGCATCTTGGAACTCAGGTCCTGGTATCCACTGCAAAGATTTCCTATTTCCAAGCTGTAGCTCTTTGTTTAATTCCATAATTTTCACACCTTGAAGCTGTGGCTCTGAGGTTGATGCAAATGGTTTCCTGTTTTGTAGCCATTGTAGTGTGAACCATTTAGGGGTTTTCACACACTGTAACTGTGATTTAGGGTTAAACTCTGTAGATTTTGGTCCTTGAAGTTTAGGCCCTAGAGTCAATTCAGATGACTTCATACCTCCTAACTGTATAGAAGATTTCAATTCTGCAGGTGTACTACTTCGAGATTTTGATCTGAGACTTAACCCTACAGAGGTCACATCTGGGAACTCAGATTTTGATATCCACTGAGTAGTTTTTGTACCTGTAATCTGTGGCTCTTTGTTTAACTCCATAGTTTTTGTATCTTGAAGCTGTGGTCCTGGGATCAACTTGGGAGATTTCCTACTTTGCAACTGTGGTCCATGTTTGAATGCTTTAGCTCTTACATCTTGACTAACTGGTTTGGGACCCAATGCATATGATGTCATATCTTTCGACTGTATCTTGGAATTGCAGTATACAGCTTTTATACTCTTAGATTTTGGCTCTGGAACTAACTCCAAAGACATTATACTGTCTGACTCAAATCCTCTCTTCAGTTGTTCTAAATTTACATGTTTCCATCCTGGTAAGTTTACAAATATCTGGCTATCCTGTTCAGGATCAAGAGTTAAACTCACTGGCATCACCCCATGAAATCGTTGCTTTGGGTCTAAATCCATGGATTTTACTCCTTGAAACCCTGGTCTTCTGGTTACATTCACAGATTTTGCCTCCTGCCTCTTTAGCCTTGAGGCCGACTTCACAGATTTTTCACATTGCAACTGTGGATCTGGAGTATCCTTTATAGATTTTGAATTTTGCAGCTTAGTAAATGGAATAATAGCCACAAGTTTCATATCTTGCATTTGTGACTCTGAAATCAGTTCCTCGGGTTTCATACTCTGTGTTTGAGGCCTTTCAGGAACCTCTGTTGATTTAGCAACTTGAAGCAATGGATCTGGTGGAAAAGCCCCAGAATCCCCACCTTGCATCTTCCGCCCAAATTTCTGTTCCATAACTCTCAAATCTTGAACCTTTGTACCTGGGACTAACTCCTCAGTTTTCAAATCTCGAATTCTTGAACCTGGAGTCACTTCCACAGATTTTGCACCTTCCACCTGGGAATTTGAGGTTAACTCCATAGATTTCAGACCTTCTAGACATGATCCTGGAGTTAAAACCACAGATTTCTTATCTTTCAACTGTGATCCTGAAGGCATCAACTCTGATTTTAAACTTTGAAGCTCTGAACCTGGGGCTAGCTCCCCAGCTTTTTTGCCTCCTGTCTGTGGCCCTGGGCTTAACACCATAGATTTGACTTCTCTTGGGTTTGGCTTTGGTGTTAACTTCATAGATGTCATATCTCCCAAATGTGGCCTTGGCATTAACTCCACAGATGTCATATCTTCTGGCTGTAGTTCTGAGAATAGCCTCTCAGATTTTAAACCTTGATGAGGCCTTGAAACTGGGATCTGCTCCACAGGTTTTGTATCTTCTAGCTGTGGCTCTTGGATCAATTCAGAATACTTCATACCTTGTGACCATTGCCCTCTGGTAGATTCAGAACGGTTTACACATGGTAGCTGTGTCCCGGCTGACAACTCCATAGATTCCACATTTGGTATCTGTGGCTCTGAGACTAATTTGTAAGAGATTTCATCTTCAAAGCTGGATACTGAGTTCACTGTTGCATATTTTACATCTTGAAACCATGATTCTGGTACTAATAACTGTGGTTTAACCCCTTGTCTCTCTGGCTGTGAGGTCAGATCCGAACATTTTATACCTTGCAGCTGTAGCTCTGAGATTAACTCTGAAGATTTAATATCCTCAGATTGAGTTCCTGGTGCTAAATTTAAAAATTTAACATCTTGTAGCCATGGCTCTTCATTAAGCCCCACCTGCTTCATATCTTGAACCCCTGGAGACATCTTTGCTAATTTGGAAACATGCTGCCCTAACTCTGAAGTCACCTCTGCAGAATTCACACCATAAATTTGCTCCCCAAATATGACACCTTGAAGCCTTGGCCCTGCAACCAACTTAGAAAAGTTGGTGTCTTTCTGCCTTTGATTTACTTCCTTAGATTTCACATCTTGAAATTGTAGTTCTGAGGTCAGTTTTCTAGGTTTCATGCTGTGAAAATGTGATCCTTCAGGAGATAGAACAGATTTCATATCTTCAACCTGTAGTCCTTGGTTTAACTGCAAAGAGGATTTTGTTACAAACCCTCCAGATTTTGTATCTTGAAGCTGATCTCCTGGTTTAAACCCTAGATGATGTGGCTCTGAAATCAAATCTGAAAATTTGGCATCTTGCAAGCATGGCCCTGACTTTAGTTCCACTGGAGTCAACTGTACAGATCCGACATTTTGATGTTTGGACCCTGGGATAAAGTTTGACAATTTGATTTCTCGCATTGGGGAACTTGGGGTCATTTCATCAGGTATCACACCATAGCGTGGGGGCCTTGAGATTAAATCTACTGGTTTTTCTCCTTGAACCGACCCTGGAGATAACTTTGAAAATCTGACACTTTGCAACTGTGACCCTGGAGTCCATCCAGAAGATTTGATATTTGATTGCCTTGGGTCTAGATTTAAGCCCACAGATTTCACACTTGGGAGCTCTGCTTCCTTAGTCACTTCTTCCAATAAACTAGTTTGTAACATTGTCTCTGGTTTTAGCTTTTCAGATTCTACCTCTCTTGTCCTTGATTGTGGGTTTAAATTCACACATTTTGTATCTTGCAAATGTGGTTCTGGCTCAGTCTGCCTAGATTTTACTCCCTGGAGTTGTGACCCTGAGGTCAAGTCAATAATGTCTGGTTTTGATCTCATAATTAATTCTGTAGCTTCTACTAGTAATGGGGATGACCCAGAAGTTAACTCAACAGATTTCAAATTTTTCAGTAATGATCCTGATTTCTCATGTGGCCCTGAAGTCAAACCATCTGGTTGAGTTGGCTTTGAAGTCAAATTTGCAATTTTAGACCGTGAACCTGGGATCAAACCCCCAGATTCCAGAGATCCAGTTTCTGAACATGGTTCTTTGATAGCCTCCTGGGTTTTATCAACTTGAGGAAATGATAATCTTACAGCTTCTGTGTCTTTATAGTCTGACTTTAGGAGTATCTCCAACACATTGGTAACTTTTGAACATGGTTCTGCATTCAGATGAACAAACTTCATATCTTGGGGCTGTGGCTCTGGGGTCAATACCTCTGATTTCACACTTTGTACCTCTGATCCAGGTATCAAATCCAGAGATTCTTTTACTGTATATTGTAATTCTGGAGTCAACTCTATCACTTTTACAGGAGAGAACATAGTCCCAGTATTGTCTTGGAGTGATGATGCGCTCATTTTTATAGATTCTGAAGCTTGGCTCAATGAATCTGGGGTGACTCCTAAAGATGATTGTAGTACTTGATGCACTGGCTTTTGGCTTATTCCTGTAGATTCTGTATGTTGACCTAAGGACCCTGGGATTGTCTCCAGTGGTTCCGTTATTTGCTGATGTGATGGTGTCAGTTGTACAGATTTCTTCATGTGTAGGCATGTGTCAGAATTCAACCCCATTGTTTCCATCACTTTATGACTTCGCCTTGGGCTCATTGTTGAATATTCTAGGATTTGATGGCATGGGGTCAACCTTGAAGGATCCATGACTTGATGAGGCAGTCCTGGGGTTAATGACACAGACTCTGTGCCTTGATCATATGATGGAGCCACCCCCACAGAGTCTAGTACTTGAACCTTTAACCCAGAAGTCAATTCCAGAGATTCCTTGTCTTGAGATATTGGCTGAGGGGTCAAACCCCTTGGTGACTGTGGTTCTGTGATCATAACCATAGGTAAAGCCAGTGCTACTGAGTTTTCATTTAGGGAATGCATGGATTGATGTGATGGTGTTAGAATCTTCCTTGCTGATTCCATCACTTTAGGTGATGACTCTGGAGGTAAACTCACAGATTCTACAATTCCTAGTGGAGCAATAACAGTACAAGAGCTAGGTGGAGAAGTCAAACCATCTGGCTGAATTGGCTTTGAGGTCAAATTTGCAATTTTAGGCTGTGAACCTGGGATCAAACCCCCAGATTCTATATCATGTGTCACTGCTGGCAGAATCTCTCTGAAATTCATGGTTTGTAATAGTGCTACTGGAATTATTTGCATGTGATCAACGACTTGATGTAATGGTGTTGAGGTCATTTCCAATGATTCTGTGTTTTGATGTATTCGATCTAGCCTACCATTTACTTGTTCCATGAATTGACTTTGTGAGCCGGAAGTCATATTCGCTGATTCCATGACTTCGTGATTTGGCTCTGGGGCCATTTCCACAGCTTCCATGACTGTGTGTTGTGGCATCATCATTGTGTCCAACAGTGTATTCATTTCCACAGACTCCATGGCTTGATGTTGTGGCCCTGAGGTCATTCCTACTGGTTCTGTGTTATATGGATGTGATTCATTAATCATTCTCTTAGAATCTATGACTTGAAGCAATGCTACTGGAGTTATTGTCACATTATCTATGACTTGATTGAGTCTTAAGGACATCCTGTTTGGTTCTACAACTTGTTGCTGAGTCTTTGGGGTTACCTCCACTGATTTAATTGTTTGACTTGGTGATTTGGGAGTTATATGCATTGTTTCCATGACTTCCATTGGCTTTACAACTTGGTTTGGGGCTTGTGGGAACAAATTCACAGATTCTGTCATTTCTGAATGTGATTCTGGGATCATCCCCATTGAATCCATGACCTGAAGCAATGCCAGTGGAGTTATCTTGATGTTATCCGTGACTTTATAAGGAAGGCTTGGTGTCAGCTCCATATGAGTCACTTGTGGATTATGGTGCTGAATTCTTTTTTCTGGAAGATCTGTGGCACTCTGCTCTGTACTAAGGTCTAGCACACATTTTGAGTCCTTCTTCAGTAAAGCAGTTCTTTCTTGAGTTGTATTAACTCCTAAATGTCCGGGAGGTAGAGTGCCCATTGATGTAACCAAGGGTTTGGATCTGAGGATTTGGGGGTCACTCCCATATTGTAACTGCTTACTTGAGATAAGTGACTGTGAAATTTTTGTTTCTGTCCTATTTAATTCAGATTCTACTCTAGGGTCCACATGAAGCTGAAATGATGGAAGGTCTGGGGATTCACTGTTGATATTTTGTTCAGTACTTTGATGACTGAGTGTAGATAACTGGGTTTGGGAGTTCTCTAGTTGCGAGACTCCTCCTGGTACTTCAATCAAATAATTCAGCATTGCCCATGATTTTTTCACAGGCACAGGTACTGTTTGTTCCTGCAAAGTACGAACCTTCTGAGACATATGTCCCTCTAGCTCCACTCTAGCCAAAGGAGACATCCGGGGAAGAGCCCACTCTGGGAGTTTTCTTTCATCCAAAACAGAATTTGGCTCATAATCTAATACCAAAGGAATCCTTCTTCTCTTATGTTTTGTTTTCTCTTCTTGTTTGCAAACATTTGGGGTTTCAAGCGTAGAGTGAATAAAATAATCTGGTGGCGGTAAGTGTGAAAGAGCTTCCACATTCTGAAGTTCTGGTTCCTCAGGCTCTGACAGCTGAAAAGGTGGCAGGGATGTGTCTTGGTTCCTGAACACAGGTGGTTGCCTTTTGCGGGAAGTAGGCAAAAGATTGCTCTGGACTTGCCAAGATGTCCCTTCAAAGAAGGCAGGAAGGTAAGACTGGCTGGAGGTATTGCTTGATGAGCCAAAGGCTATACTATGATCAGTGGAAGACGTTGCCTCCCCACAGATGCAACAGGATGATGAAACAGCTTCCTGAGTCTCAAGAGGAGAGGTGGCGGAAGAAGTCACATCCTGTGATTCCAGCAAAAACAGTTCCATAAGACATAATCTAAGAAATAAAGAGAAAAGTTTCTGTTTGCTTTGGAGTCAGAGAAAGGAAACAAAACAAAAAACAACCAGGAAACGGAAAGAAAGTATCCTTTTCAAATGCAAAATATTTTTGGCTTGAGAGGAATTGCAAAAGAAAAAGTTACTTCCCCCATCATCAAATAATGATGCAAAAAATTCCTCCACTGGGCAAAGGTAGGCAACTATTCCTGAAATAATTCTTTGACCCAACTGAACTCAGGACTTTCCCCACTGCCACTTTCAGCCAAGAATGGTGGCACAACACCTGTAACACCGGCACTATAGGAAGCTGAGGCCTGAGAATTACAAATTCGAGGCTAGCCTTGGCAATTTAGCAATTTAGTGAGAACTTGCCTCAAAATAAAAAATTTTCAAACCAGGTGTGGTGACACATGCCTGTAATCCCAGCACTTAGGCAGCTGAGGCAGGAGGATTGCCTCCAATTCAAGGCCAGCCTGGGTTACATGGTGAGTATCAAGGCCAGCCTGAACTACACAGCGAGACCCTGACTCAAAAAAACAGAACAAAACAAAAAAATTAATTAAAAGTTTTTAAAAAGGCTGGGGATGTAGCCTAGTGCAAAGGTTCCCAGTTCAATCCCCAATACTGGGTGGGGGACCTCTTTCCCCCTTTGCCTCCCTCTTTTATTCTCTTCTCCTTTCTCTCTCTTAAATGCTCTACAACCTTTAATCCTCCACCTAGAAACTCTGTTCTGTTACCTTGCACTTTCCAGGTGTTGGATGATCTGTCGAAGACTCCTGACCATTGACCAGAGTCTATATTCCTGGGCCCAGTCCGCAGTGAGTCCTGAAATACTGGATGCGACAGAATATGTTAGTGTAATGGAAGTGATATCAAAGTATCAGTAAACAAACCATTAGAGGAGAGATTTAACTTAGAAAAGAGACAACTATCATAATTAGGGAAGAGGACCAAGTATTTCACTCCTAACTTTTGCAGTTAGGACAGGCTGAAGACAAACTTTACTTACTGTGTTAGGTTACCTTCACTGCATTCCATCCTGAGGTTTTCTTCTGACTCTGCGACTGGGAAGCAGGAGGAAAAAATCTATTAGCATTGTGAGTATTAACATCATCCAGCGGAACCTTCTTATTTTGCACACAAGGAAATAAAGATGAAGTCATGCCCATGATCATAAAGCTAATAGTGGGGGAGCTCAGGTCTCAAGTTTAAAAAAATAATGGTAATACTATGCTGCCTATATCATATAGTAGAAGTTGGCCTTGTGTATCACAGAAAGGATCATGGAAATAAGAAGTTGGAGGGGGCAGCCAGGCATGGTGGTGCACACCTGTAATCCCAGCACTCAGGAGGCTGAGGCAGGAGGATTGTTGAGAGTTCGAGACAAGCCTGGGCTATAAAGTGAGCACAAGGCCAGCCTGAACTGCATAGTGAGACCCTGTCTCAAAAAGACAAAAAAAAAAAAAAAAAAAAAAAGATTTGGAGGGGGGAAAGCAAAGGTCCTGATACATCATTTCCTTCAGAGGAGTCTATCTGACACCTATGGTAGGGAAGACACTGAAGCTTCCCTTACCAAATTCTGAGTAGTTCATCTTTGTTTATTCTGTCTTACCGTGATTCTTTCCCTTACTTTGGTCTTTGCACAAAAATTGAAGAAAAAAGAAACCACAAGTAAAAGAACCGTGGAAAGATCTCTTTGGAAGTACACATGCTAGAAAGAATAGGCACACAGGGCATGGTGGCATAGGCTTGTGGTCCCAGTACTCAGGAGGGTGAGGCAGGAGGGCTGTCACAAGTTCAAGGCCAGCCTGGGCTACATATGAAACCCTGTCTCAAAAACAAAACAATAGGCACACTTCTTCCATTTACATCCTCTTTTTCAACCTCCCTCCACCTGCTATTTTTTCCTTTTTTTCTCATGTTTTAAATTTTCTCTTCCTTCCTGTCCCTCTCCCTCCTTGTGAGTTCTCCTTCCCATTTGAACATTTTTCCACCTGCTATTTAAAGCTAGACTTTTAAAGCAGATGAGCAGCTGTTCAGCCGCTAGCCTTGAGCTGAAGAGTAAAGGATAAGATTGTTCTGACCTGTGCATTTCTGGATCTTTTTCAATTTATGTTCCTTTGAAGTCTAGAGAAGCACAAAAAGAAAAAATAAAATCAGGTTATTGTATTAGTTTTATATTGCTGGGGTAAACTACCTCATTCACACAATTTAAAGGAGAAGGAGCTTAGATGGGCTTACAGTTTCAGAGAGTTCAGTCCATGATGGGCTGACTCAAGGCAGAAACATCACGGCACAGGGCATGGCAGAGGAATGCTGCTTACCTCATGGCAGCCAGGAAGCAGAGCAAGCAAGGAAGAGGCAGGGAGAAAGGAGCCTGGAAGCAGATATAGTCCCTAAGCTCACCCCCTCATGACCCACCAGACACTTGCAGAAGTATGTTTTACTGATCTAGGAATCTCTCCACCCTGTTAAGTTGACAATCAAGATTACCCATCGGGGCTGGGGATTTAGCTCAAGCGGCAAAAGCGCCTGCCTGGCAAGCGCAAGGTCGTGAGTTCGGTTCCCGGTACCGGAGAAAAACAAAACAAAAAAAAAGATTACCCGTCAGAGTTGTTCTAGGTTACCAACTTTTAAGAGCATATCTCAAAAAAAAAAAAAAAAAAAAAAGAGCATATCTCACCCTATAAGGAATAGTAAAACAGCTGGCATCTATAACCGCATCATTAATTGCCACCACACTCATTTATTTATGAATCATTTATCGAGTACTAAGTTCTAGGTATTATGTGGGTTGCTGAGACTGCAAAGATTAGTATGATCTCCATCCTATAGGCACTTACACACTAGTAAGGAACAGTTGTCTAAACAGGTTAAATTAAAATACCACATAGTAAAAGCTGTAACAGAAATACTGGCCATCCTAGGCTACATAGCAAGTTCAAGACCAGCCAGGGCTAAGTAGAAAGACCTTGTCTAAGAAAAATGTTTTAATTAAAGAAATGAAAGGAAGGAAGGAAAAGGGGAAGGGAGAAAGATAAATATTAGGGAATGCAGAGGACAGTGATTAACTTCCTGAAGGAGAAGGGACGAATTAATAAGTTGACATTTTTACTGAAGTTTGAAGAATCTGCAGATTTTTAGGTGAAAAAGAGCATAGTAGGCCAGTGGTGAAGATCAGCATGTTCTGATGGTCAGGTGTATTTTTTTTTTTTTTTTTTTTGGTTTTTCTCCGGTACCGGGAACCGAACTCACGACCTTGCACTTGCCAGGCAGGCGCTTTTGCCGCTAAGCTAAATCCCCAGCCCTGGTCAGGTGTATTTTTGCTAAATTGTGGGAAAGGAAGTTGAAAAGGGAGGCAAAAAACAAGATTGTGCCTGATGGTATAATGTTAATTTCATTCTACAGATCAGAGTTTCCAAGAATACTTAATAAATTCCTGAGGTTTTTGCAAAGGTGCTTCAGGTCATTTTAAAGGCAGCAATGACATTTGTTACCATTTCAATAAAACAAATACTTAAATTTTCTTTGAATCAGGACATCGATCTCTGAGAACATATCAAAAAATGTAGACAGTTAGTGGGACTTCATGAATATGCTGGGAACTCAGTCAGCTAGTACACCATTCACTGAATACCCCAGACAGCAGCAGCAGAGTTGATGTTTAGATGCTTTTCAAGTGGTTTTAGGCTTAGTCATATATGATTTAATAATCATTGTCAATAATGGACCATTGATTAAGAACTAAAAGGAAAAGTGATGTTGAAATATAAGTCAATAGGCTTGCAGATGATCTTTCTAGGTATTTAACTCAAAATGGTCTAAAACACTTGCATCACAAAACACCTGGAAATGCTGAATAAAATACAACATCCTTTTAAATGCAGAACTTAGCTCCCATGAAAATGAAAGAAAAATCAGGATGAAAGCAACATTGGGAGAACTCTTCAAAATAGAATCAGAAGGCTATTAAGGTAACAGGATTTATGCACATCTCAAGCGGCTGCCTAGGAATCTGAACTTTGCTGATCTCTACTCTTTGATTGCAGGTATCTGGAACAAACATATGGAAATACTAGACAATTACATTGTACCCAGAGACTCAAGATGCAGATCAAGAAGTAACCAGATTTGAGACGGTGGTGGTGGCACATGCGCATAATCCCAGCGCTAGAGAAACTAAGGCAGGAGGATTTCCATGAGTTTGAGGACCGCCTGTGCTACACTGTGAGTTCAAGGCCAGCCTGGACTACACAGCAAGATCTTGTCTTAAAAAAAAAAGGAGAAAGTGGAGAAAAGGAAGATGAGATGGAAGAAAAGAAGGAGAAGAAAAAGAAAAAGGAGGAGAAGAAGTTATCAGACTCTTGCTTTATGGACATTTTTCCTTAAAAAAAAAAAGCCTGGCACAGTGGCACATGCCTGTAATCACAGCACTTGGCAGGCCAAGACAGGAGAATCACTGCAAATGTGGGCCAGTGCTATGTAGAGAGTTAAAGGCCAGCCTGAACTATAAAGTGAGACCTTGTCTGAAAAAAAAAAAAAAAAATGGGCGGGGGATATACCTCAGTGCCTGCCTGGCAAGCATGAGGTTGTGAGTTCGATTCCCGGTACCAAAAAACAAACAAACAAACAAAAAGTGAAAAAAAAAAAAAAAGAATAAAAAATAATATAACCTTATACAGTCGGATTGATCTGCTCTTTCTCAACACTGAGTAGATTAATCAGTGCTACTTTCCCATTCTAGCTCCCATTTCCCTGTCTTATTCAGAACACCGAACAGAGCTATCTGAACATTTGTCTTCTGAATTGCAATTCCTAAGACCTCAAGTAAATTCTTTTATTTTTACAGTTCAGCTTGAATTGATCAATATGCCTCAAAAGAAAGTGGGGAAAATCTTTATGGGCCAAAAATAAGGAGAAAACTGGAAAACAAGTAGAAACTCAGCAGACACGTCAATGCCTTAGGTCATTTTCATTATCAACCAGCGAGGGGCTTCGGTTAACAAGGCTGGAAGAAAGACAAGGCCCAGCTGAAGTACATATTTGGAACAGAGACTGTGAAAAAGCCAGGGTTCTCAAAGTGCTACATGTTCAGTGGAAATGTGGTATGAAAGTTGTTGATACCAAGATAAAATCTTTTTTTTTTTTTTTTTTTTTGTCTTTTTGAGACAGGGTCTCGCTATGCAGTTCAGGCTGGCCTTGAACTCGAAATGAGCCTCCTGAGTGCTGGGATTACAGGCATGTGCCCCCATGCCCTGTTTTTTGTTTTTTGTTTTTTTTTTCCTTGTTTTGTTTGTTTCTTTTTCTCTTTTTGAGACAGGGTCTCCCTATGCAGTTCAGGCTGGCCTAGAACTCACTGTGTAGCCCAAGCTGGCCTCAAGCCTGCAGCAATCCTCCTGCTTCAGCCTCCCAAGTGCACAGACGTGCATCTCCACACCTGGCTAAAATCATATTCCTTAGACACAGACAAAATTAGAGCCGGGAGGTCACAAAGGGAGCATGGTTGTGCCTACATGCTTGAGACAGAGTTTTAAGGACTCTAAGAGCCATACAAGAGAGTCTCTTTACATGCTTCCATTTATTGCATACCTAATTTATACATAGATTTCTGTAACAAAGTTTAGTAGTCTTTTATTTTACTTTGTATGTGTATGGCACTGGATTGAATTCAGGGCCTCACACGAACTAAGCGCTCTACCACTGAGCTAATCTCTAGACCCTTTTCATTGTGAGATAGTGTCTCACTAAATTGCTCCCGCTGGCCTTCAATTTGCCCTGCAATCCTCCAGCATTAGCCTCCTAATAACTGGGATTAAAGGCATGCCTCACTGTATCCACCTATCTTTAACATTCAAATTTGCAACACGGGGCTGGGGATTTAGCTCAGTGGCAAAGCGCCTGCCTGGCAAGCGCAAGGTCGTGAGTTCGGTTCCCGGTACCGGAGAAAAACCAAAAAAAAAACAAAAAACAAACACAAATTTGCAACGCTTCAGACAAGATGCTCAGACACTTGGCCAGCAACAGCACCTCTATCATTAAACTGATGCCAACTCGCACCTTGGGTCCTCAAGAACGATGCACTTTGTGATAAGTTGCTTATATAAATGTCTCCCTCTTTGCCTTTAAAAACTTGCTATTACCGGCTGGTCATGGTGGCGCAGGGCTATAATTCCAGCACACTGGAGGCTGAAGCATGAGGATTACTGCAAATTCAAGGCCAGCCTGGCCCACAAAGTGAGTTCAAGGCCAGCCTGAACTGCATAGTGAGACCCTGTCTCAAGGAGACAAAAAAGCAAAAACAAAACAAAACAGGGGCTGGGGATTTAGCTCAGCAGCACAGCACCTGCCTGGCAAGAGTGAGGTCGTGAGTTTGATTCCTGGTACCGGAAGAAAAACAAAAATAAACAAAAAACCCACAAAACTTCCTATTACCATAACCTCTTTCACTACACCCATAATTTACTATGGCACAGGGGCTGGGGATATAGCTCAGCGGCATAAGTGCCTGCCTGGCAAGCACAAGGTCCTGAGTTCAATACTTGGTACCAAAAAAAAAAAAAAAAGGGCTGGGAATATAGCTCAGTGGCACAAGTGCCTGCTTGGCAAGCACAGGGTCCTGAATTTGATTCCCAGTACCAAAAGAAAGAAAGAAAGAAAGAAAAAGAATAATTTACTATGGCACATATATTACCATTAAAATCCTCTGCTATGCCCAAATAATTCTTATTCTGTAGAGATTCTTTCTGTGATGGTTACTTAGGTTCACAGTGGCTAGGAAAAGAGTCTGCCCACCAGACAAGGATGTTTGAGCTCTGTGTGGAAAAAATGACTTCTCTTGAGAATTTTAACCATGAATCCATCCTCCTACTGGTTTGGAGTTTTGATTTGTACTCACTATGTACCAAGAAACTCCAAAACTAAAATTAAAGCAAAAATAAATCTTGTTAAAAAAAAAAAAAAAAAGGAAGCGTAAGAGTAAGGAGAATAAAATAGTTTGAATAACTACAAATAAAAAAAGCAGATAAAACCATTAAAATTTTCCTTTTTGTAAGATAAAGTCTCACTGTGTAGTTCAGGCTGATCTTGAGCTTGCTAGGTAGCTCATGCTGGGCAATTCTCCTGCCTCA